CAGCAGCGCCATCCTCAAGCGCGCGCGCCAGACTTTGCACGACGCTGAAATCATGTTTCAAGATCTTGCCGTATACCTGCAGAGATTGCCCATGCGGGATGATTTGGAGCCCCGCCTCGAACAAAGTGTCGGCCTGCATCAGGCACAGAAAGTACCCCCTCGGGATGTTCGTCAGAGAATCTCTCATGATCTTCGCATCACCGTTGCTGTAGCCATCAAGGACTTTTCTTTGCTCTTTTCGGCGTTTCGACGGGGGGGTGTATAGTTCCCATACCCATCCTTCAGCAAGCAATTCAATCATGAGAGAGAAGTCAGTCCGACTCTCAAGAGGATCGCGCTCTCCCAAGCTAGCGACAAGAGTGGAATCTTTGACCCCCCAGCAAGCATGAGAGAGAACCTGGCGCAGTCCACCAGCAGTGAGCTGCAGGGCGTTGCCAGAGCCGCCGGCCTCCCCTGCCCCCTGCTCATGCCCCCTGTCCCCCTGCCCGCCAGGAGACCCTCGCCCCTCGCTCGGGCCGCTCGGGGCGCTGCCCCTGCGATGGCGCGCGAGGACCCTCATGGGACATCCCATCTCCTATCACGCTTACCCCTTCCGGCTCCCACCTCACTGACCCGCCCGCTGACTCTGCCCCCTGCCCTGCCCTCCCCGCCCGGACCTCTCCCCTTCTTCCTGACCCATCACTGCCCTGCCTTGCCTCGCCTTTTGCCCTAGCCGCATCCTCATCCCCTCGCCCTCCCCTCGCCTCGACCTCAGTCTCCTCTCTCCTCTCCCTTTACCCACTTGACTTAGTCCGCGCTCTGCCCCAGCAGCGGCTCCGACGCCGTGTCGCAACCCGTCAGACAACTCAACCCTGACCCCACTGGCATGAAAAACTGCTCGACCGCCCCTGTCCCCTGTCCACACCGATCGGGCTCTACCCCTGCCCGGGCGCCTGGGCGGCGGCATCTTCGATAAAACCGTTGCGCCGCAGCCAGTCGAGGGCGTCCAACTGATTCCCCGACCACTCTGGCAAGCCCGTGCACTTCCCGCCAGAGTAAGCATTCCTTTCGACAAGCAGCGTGCATACATCCCTGATGTCAGCATCAATGACACCATTCCCAGGAACACAATAGCAAACGGACGCGCCGCGATCCCATATCCGGAGGTCGTCAACCAGCGTATCGAAGGGGCCCAAAGTGGATACACCGTCGAGCACCAAAAGAGGATCCAGGGCAGTACCCTCGAAGTCTGGCATCGACCGAACATAGACATCGTCATTCATCTTAGTGGCCTTCATTCTGCAGAGTAAGATGTGTCGCGGGCCCAGCCGGGACCCACTGCCGATAGGAGCCCTGACTTTTTTCTTCGACCCAGAAGCAGACGACGTCTGGACGACCGAGAAATAGGCGTAGCTGTCCGCATCATCATCCACGAGGGCGGGCGGGGCATCGTCGTCGCCAGCGGACTCTCGTTTACACTTGGCTCGTTTTGCCGCGGGCTCCTGCGCGAAAGCTCCCAAGGGCACCAAACCAGCACTTGCCAGAGTTGATTTCTTCACAGAGAACACGGCACCACTGACCGCATATTCCAGAAGGTGGCTCTGGAGCAACGTCGTCAGAACTACTTCCCTATCTTCGAGGACTGGCCTGACAGAGGCAAGCAGCCTCTCGGCATCGTGCGCTTCCTTTTTCTTTCTCTTGTTGTTCTCCTTCGCTTGGTCTTTCAAAGCAGCGTACATGGCACGAGTGTCGCAGCGGTGCATTACATCTGTAGAAAGTCTTCTGTAGACGTGGGCCGATCTTACTGGGCACCGCCGGACGAGGCCTTTGCGGCCTTTGGCCTGGGACTTGTGGCGCCTCAGAAACTCCGCTAACTCTGGGTGGGTATCGAATTGCAATATCCCTGGGACAGCAGTGGGCCCGCGGCACATCTCAAAATGCTCCAGGAATGAGTCGACCCAGGGCTCCCCCCAACGATAATAACCATCTGTGAACAAGGCCATGCGGTTTGACAGAGAAACACGGATCGGGCCGAAGGGGATATGGCAAGATCGACTCGTCACAGACGCGTGCTTTCCTTCGATGGAGGTCTCGTTGACGGGTATGAGTTTCCATCTGGCGAGCTCCAACAAGAAAGTATTCGAACGCTCCCTCCGAGTCCGGGTCCCAGCTGCGAGTGCTCTGAGATCCTCTACGAAGCTAGATCCCGGACCGAGCAATTTCAAAGTAATCCGATGGTGCACGCTGTCATCTTCGCCGGCGAGGTCATCAAATAGTCGCAGCGCATCGCAAGCAATACGCACAGCCACTCCCTCACTCTGGTGCGCAACCCCAGCAAGCATCCAAGGAAGCTGCGTCCAGAACGACAACTTCTCATACAGGATTCCATTCATGGCTACTTGCGCCGCCCTGAATGCCTCCATGATTCTGGCCTGGGACGTGGGCCCTGAAGAAGATGATCCATGACTAGATAGTACACCTGCTAGGTCTACCTCGATATCCCCCCACAAAACCTCCATGACATCCCTTAGTTTTCCTGCTGCGAGCTCTGGGGCTCGGCACCCAGACAAGGGACAGGTCCTCCAACGACGCCCCGAGTGTCTCTCCGAGAAAATCTTCCACGTATGCTTGGAGATGTACCGTCGGATGTGCTCGTGACATGCGCACCCACTCGACCACGATGAAAGCTCCGATGTAACTCTCTCCACGCAAAACGCAATCTTGATATATCCATGAAAAACAGGATCCCCAAGAGCGCGGGTGATACCATCGGGGTCAACCTGGAGAGAGCCAGCTGCAGACGACATCTCACTGATGACCCCCACCGCCATACTCCACCGCCGCACTCTTCGACTCTTCGATGACCCCCCCCCCCCCATCTCACCCACTCCTCTGCGCTCTTCTATCAGAGGATCGCGGGAGTGCGGGAGCGTGGCAGACGGGAAAAGTGGTTTAGAGCAGGCGCGATGCACCCCTACTTGTCATATGCCTTTTCCGACCGAGGTCGTGCCTAGCATATGGGCAAGCAAACCATCACCATTGGGCGGGAGGGCGAGAAGCTGTGGTCTCGCTCTCTCTCTCTCAGACTCTCTCTCTCTCTCTCTCTCTCTCTCTCTCTCCCTCTCTGCTCTCTCTCTCTCTCTCTCTCTCTCTCTCTCTCTCTCTCTCTCTCTCTCCCTCTCTCTCTCACCGATCCCGGGAAAGTCAGAGGCGGCCAGGCAACTTGAGGAGCGCTCCATCTTCAATCATCTATCCTCCATCCTCCAATAGCTCATCACTTGATTACCGCCATCCTCCATCTCCTCCTCCATCCCCAATCCTCCATATTCCCCCCTCCTCTATATTCCTGTCTTCCTCCCGCATCACCCCCCCCCGCCTCCCCCGAACCGCCGCTCCCGCGTCGCGGAGCGACCTGGGAGGGACGGGCGAGGAGGCGAGAGGTAAGGGCAGGGATCAAGGGGAAGAGGAAGAAGGAGAACGGAGCAGAGGGAAGAGAGAATGATGGGGAGGACGAGGGGTGACGGGGATAGCCCTCCAGCGCACGTTGCAAGCCCACCTCAGTTGCCCGCCGGCCTGCTTCAACTTTGAGTGACTATCCGCATCGTCGTCCCCCTCTCTCAACATGAACTTCTTAGCTGACCAATTCATCACCAGCAGCGCCCGCACGGGCTCGAAAGCTTTCAGGAAACCAAGGACGCTCTTAAACCGTTCTTCGTACAGAGTCGCACCTTTAGGCCAGCCGTCCAACGCCGCCTTCCCCCTGGCATCCAGCTCTGTCCCAAGGAAACACGATTGATATAATCTACGCTTGTAATCTGGTATGTGCAAGAGGTGCTCGAACAGTTTCAATTGTTTGAAGAAGTCCTGCCATCCAGGCATGTAGTTATGGACGTCCTGTACTAAATTATTCACAATGTGTTCCATGCCCGCCACACTGGCGCAGTTCGGCAATAGATATGTTCTGCTGGGGCGAGCAGCCGGCACCGGTTCAGGGGGGGGAGGGGGGTCGGGCGGAGGGCACGGTATTGGCATGCCGTCTGGGTCGTCGCCGTCGTCCAAACACTGCGGCCCGTCTGGGTCCTCGCCCTCTGACCCGTCCTCTATGGCAGGAGCGTCGCCGTCGTTGGCGGCGTTGCCTCCCGCTGGCAGCCCCTCGACATCTCCTTCAACATCCAGGAGGGGGGCGGCCAGCTCCGGGCCAGCGCCTCCCCTGCCCGGCACCCTGCCCCCCTCCCCGCATTGCAATAGAGAAGGCCCCGATCCCAATCAGCTCTCTCGGGCCAGCGCCACTTCGGCCGCATATCCGCCGAATCTTTAGATCTCCGCAAGGGGCCCAGGGGCCCCCCAGTGCCAGTGCAAGCACAATTCGGAAATCCAGGCGGCGCTGGAGCGGCCGAGGGCGAGACTCGATATATAGGGCACGCAGAACGACAGACAGAGGGGCTCAGAGGGGCTGGCGGCCAGGGGCGATGGGGCGGAGGTCGGGGGGGGGGTGGGCGGCAAGGGAGAAGGGCGGGAAAAAGGCGGGAATGTACGAGCTGAGTGAGGATGGGAAAGCCTAGATGGAACGGAGATCATGGAATGCCCTCCCTGTCCCCTTTTCCCCGTCTCCCTGCCCAGACTCCTGACAAGACTTTTCGAACTCTGCTACGAGGGGTCCTAGGGGCCAGAATCAGACTAGCGGCCAGTCGGACGCGTAGCATCTGCTATTGTGGACTCGCTGCCGGCGATTGCTGGGAGGCGGCTGGCAGGGATACGAAAAGAGCAACGGCAATGTATCATGATCATAGCACTCGTCATCGTCATCATCATCGTCATCATCGCAATCGTCATCATCATAACCATGAACTGTCATAGCCATACCCGCATTAACATCATTGCCGCCAGACGTCAGAGCCGCCTGACCAGCCTGACCAGCGCGAGCCCCGCGGCCCGAGCAAGAGCCGAGCTGAGGAGGCGCAACGTCCGTCCTCGCGGCCGCTCTCGCGGGGGCGCAGGGAGTCAGGGAGCCCGAGCCGCTCTCAGTTCGCCCCGAGCTTGTCGCAGGGGTCCAGGTCGATGCGGTCGTAGTGCATGTGGTGATTGCCGCTGTGGGCAGTCTCGTCGACGTCCACGTTCAGCACTTGCACTGGCGTGTCCGTGCGATACGCGCAGACGTAGGACTCCTTTGGGTTGATCAGCACGTTGCTCTTCAGCGGGTAGCCCATGGCCTGTCCGCACTCGGCGCATTTGTAGATACGAGTCAGCTTGAGGTCCTCCTTGGCGGCTGGCAGCTTCAGGTGCTTTGCGATGACGTACTTGAGGAGCAGGCAGTTGTAGCTGGCAGCGCCGCCGCCGCCGCCACCGGGGCTGTCGCCGCCGCTGCCGGCGGCGCCGCCAGGACTGGCGGCGCCCGCCGCAGCCTTGGCAACCTCGGGATCAATCTTCGGCGGCAGGGCGATAGTCACCCACTCGTCAAGCTCCTGCACGAAGATTTCGACTTTCGGAGTATGCTGGATCTGAAGCCAATCACGCATCTCCTCGGCACCCCACTCATCTTCTCCATCGGCCCCAGTCCAAGGCGCCGGCGAGGGGGGTCCCGCGTCCTCCGCGGTGATGATCAGCCAGGCGTTCGGGCTGATCAACTGGTCGTCGGCAATCTCGGACCCCTGCACCTCTGGGACAATAGTTGCCTTCTTTCCAACAGCCTTGTGGAGCATCAGCTTCTTGTTTCTGAAGGCGGCCGGCAAGTAGACCGTCAACTCCTTCTTGATCGTTGCGGCCTGCGCGGCCTGACGGTAGAACAGCACGTCGTCGGCCTGGCCCTCCAGGATGTTCGCCCCCGCCTCCTGGGAGAACGTGGTGTAGGGGAAGTACGTCCACTGCTGAATATCCTCGACGTAGACGTGGTAGGAATGGACGCGAGACATTGTCACGTCCTTGCCCTGCACGATGTAAGTGTACGTCGGCGACGAGTTCGACGACATAGTAGCGAGTCGCGGCCAGCAGCTGCCGACAGGTTGTAGTCGTTAAGGCTCTCAGTCGAGACCCAAGCGATTGCGAGGCAAACAGCTTGAGGGAAATGACTACGGACAACGGCTGGGGCAAGGCTACAGGCTCCATACTTCAGCGACAAGCGAAGCGCGATTATCTTCGCATCTTCGCGCCGTCGTGCTCTCGAGCAACATCGCGATCTTCGCGCGCGCATCATCTATGCGACCTCGCATCTGAAGTCTTCGCGGCCCCGCGCGCCCCATCGTCGCAGCCCCCAGCGGCAGCGGCAAGTCCTAGTAGCGCATAGCGCGCATCGTTATCTTCGCGACCGTCGAGACCCGCGACACCACGGGGCCACCATCCGAGCATGCAATGACTTGCATTATGCCTCGGCGCCCGGCCCCTGGCCAATTCCGTCGCAGCACTCCCGGCGACGATCCCGCGTGCCAGGCGAGCCCAACGAGCCCTCTCCCCTCTCCTCTACAGCCCTGCAGCCTGCTGCGGCAAATCCTCTGCCCTCTTCCCTGCCCTCCCCTCCTGCGCTGAGGCGGTGGCGCCTCTGCCGCCGACTGGGGCCAGCTGGCGGCGCGGGCGCCGCAGCAGCACCTCCCATATCGACGTCCACAGTAGCGACCGAGCCCTGCCGCCAGACACTCCACTCTGGAAGAAGCGACGACGGGCAATCAACCTCGAAATCTGCAATCACCATCTCGGTCCCCATGTCTGTTGTGGAACACGCGAAACTGCCGAGGAAAGACTCCAGGGACGCATCTGGTGCCAAGTCCATAGTAAAAGCATGGAGCAAGGCAGAAGACTTGTTGGCTGCGCCGGAATACCCCCTGCTAAACCAACGGGGATGCACGTGTGTTGCTGGATGCAACCACAGAGGATATCAAAGTGCCTCTCGTACTCGGGGTCCGTGCGCAAAGACATGACCTCATGGACAGCTTGCCTATTAACACTGATGTCGTCGGAAACCAGGCCGGGCGCAATGTCAGAATGCACGGGGTGCGTCTCAACATACCACGCGGCCTCCAAGACATCGGCCAGGGAATCTTCGGGCACCTCGTTGTAGCTAGCCCATAACCAGTCGAAGCCACACTGGGGGGAACTGTCGCACAAGCACCACCTGGCGCACCTGCCTTTCTGAGCAATCGAATTGCGCCGCGATAGACACAGCGCAGCGTCGAAAGCCAAGGCATACTGCTTGACGGAGTCCCACTTCGGAATTGCAATCCTACCCGCCCTTTAGGGCGTAGGTGGTCTAGGGCCCCCCCCCCCCAGGACCTGGGCGGGGCGCCCCGCGAGGTGTCGGAGAGCATTGTTTCGCCCGAGACGGCCCCGAGAGAGCAAGTCTCAGAGAGCCCGAGGTGGCCTGCAAGATAGCTCAAGATATCCCAAGATGCCTCACGTTGGCCCCCGCAATGCTCCGAGAGGCCCCAGGGCCGCCCCGAGACGGCCCCAAGTGGAAAGAGCTCGCCAAGGAAGCCCCGAAGAAGCCAACGTCCTTCAACAACTTTAAGAAAACCAATGCGTTCTACTGCGTCGCCTCTTCGCTTCCGAAGGCTCCAAGACGGCCCAGGAGGGCCCCCTGAGCCCTGGGGGGGCCGAGAAAATCCCCGAGACGGCCCCAAGAGCGCTCCAAGAGCGCCGCGCCGCAATTGCGTTTCATGAAGCGATGGTTGGAGCTCCCGAGGGGCTGGGCTACTTAAGGGACCCCTCTTCTTCGATCGAACGCCCCCGAGGCGGCCCCAAGAGCGCCCCCCAGGCCCCCAAGAGCGCCCGGGGGGGGGGGCCAAGAAGCGCCCAGACGGCCCCAAAGAGGCGCCCATGACGCCTCCAAGAAGCTCCCAAGAGACCCCCAAGAAGCCTCAGGCCTCAGGACCTCCGGAGGACCCCCGAACCACCCAAGATGCTTAGAGACGGCCCCAGGCCCGCCAATATGCCCCCCCCCCGACGCACCCAAGAGACATCCCAGTAGACCCCGATAAGTATTCCAGAGGATTCTGGCTCTTTCGCTCGCCTCTTGCTGTAGAGACAATGAGATATGAAAGGAAACCACCAAGCACATACTGAATTGAATATCATCAGTTTCTCTAGCGACGACTGAACCGAAACCAATGCCTGCTACGGGGTGGGGCTGCTACAGTTCTGGTACAGACCCCCCCCCCCGTCGCCAGTCTAAGGAATTCGCCCTGGCCCGCTTCTCTCGCGCCCAGGCACTCTTTGATCACCTCAACTCGCCCGGGCGTCGTTTCTGAATGGGCCGGCGGCTGGTGGCTGGCGGGGATGCGCGAAGCGCCCAGGATTTTCTTTCTGAACTCACTGCGCCTAACACCGAACAGCGGGGCAAGCTCCTGCATTGCATCCTCGAGACACCCCCGAATCATGAAGTTCGCTCGAAGAACGCATACTAGCTGGAGGGCCGTGTATCTTTCATTATGTTTCTTCCTGTCAAGGTCGGCAAACCCATTCATGATGAACTGGGGCTTCCAAGAGTCAAGGACACGAAGCTGGTGCTCGATTTCGTCTTTCTGGCCAGGGTGGCCGGCGATAAGTCTAGCCCCCAGGGAACGGAGCGACGCCGCCATGGTCTCCACCGCGGCCAAGTCGGGGGCCCGGGGTTGAGGCGGCATATTCAGGGGAGGAGCGGGCGACCATGCAGCTTCTCCTGCAGGGGGCCAACCTGGCAACCGCTCAGGAATATCAGTATCATCTGGCCCTCTGGCACGAAGTAACGCGTTGTGCCATCTCGTCAATACCAATAAATCTCGCCACCTCCCACTCCCCCACTCCCACCTCCTACCGCCTCCTGCCGTTGTTTCATGCCCCCCTATCGTTCTTTGCATTGCACCCATGCTCCGTCGAGCCCCCCCCCTGCACCCATCATAACGACTGGGGGAAGGGGATGGAGGAAGAGGAAGAGGAGGGGGATGACAGGAAAGGGGGGCGGAGAAGGACGCCGGGGAGCGACTCGGAGGGGGAAGAGCAGGGGGGGATGATGATGATGATGATGACGCGCCTTGAAAGGTCGGTTCTCCCTAAACACAAACCTGAGAAGCCACCAATACGCCAAGCGCGTACGGTAGAGAAAGAGGGAAGCGGGGAGGAGCGGGGAGGAGCGAGAGAGAAGGGGTAGAACAAAGAAGAATCCCAGCCCAAGATTGAAGCCCATGATATTGATATTGAACGCCATCAAGAGAGTAAACCAACTGTCCAATTCTGACAGAAATTATGATTGAAACCTGTAATACTCAAATAATCGTGAATGATTAAATCCCACCTTAAATTGAACCCAGGATACTGAATAAAACCCACCCACTCTGAGTAAAGGTGTGAGCAATGAGAAACGCAATACAAGGTGAAGGATAATGCTTGATTGTTCGAAATATCTTGAGTGACTTGAGTAGCTCCAGTAACTTGAGTAACTCGAATACCTTGCTTGACTTGCGCAAATCAGGAAGTGAGGTGAAGAGAACTTTCATTGAGTCCCTTGAAACCCAAAAACGTAAGTGATAACCCAATCCAATAAAAGTGATGAAAGAAGACTAGACATTGAACTGAATGTCCCAAACACGCAGTGACCCAGAAGATATGGAGGCATACAAAATTATAACTGAAGTCGAGTGAGCCCAACTGTGAAGACCCACTCCAGGTGAACCAAGCCATGTGAGGTAATTGAATTCAAGCAAGTGCGACGCGAGATGCAGTGGGTGTTTATGGTTTGTATTTTGCCCACTATCGATGTTGAAGGACATGCAAGGGGATTGAAGTGAGACTAGGAGACCTCCAAAGGCCGCAGGCCCATGCACCGCAGACGCCAAGAGAAAAGGACTGAGAGATCCCCAGAATGATGATCACGGATACTTCCAACGCCACTTTTCCACAAAGAAGTCTCCATCCCACCAATAGTCCGAAAGGTACCAAACCACTGGGTAAGGCCAGCCCGATTCGGGATCGAACCAGGTGTCATAGTACTCAGTGTACCAAACTTTGGTGTAGACCTTTTCTTCTTCGCAGTAGTTCCACATCCCACCTGAACCTTGAAACCACTTGAGACGCTTCCTGGATTCCAGCTTGGCTGGCAGGCATCGTTTGACCATCCCCTGACTGTTATATGGATGTTCCCAGCCGCTTCGTACAAGACTACCGCCAGGGTTTGAGGCGAAACGGCTACTGACCATCAGCCAATTCTTTCCAAGGAACTCTCCGAGCCCTTTCGTCGGAGTCCTCGCAGGGGGGGAGGAAGAGGAGGAGGAGGGGGGAGGAGGAGGAGGAGGAGGAGTCCTCAACTCGTCTGAGCCCGAGCGGCCCTCGCCCGTCACCCGTGTCACCCCTCCTCCCTCCCCCCGTGCCTCCTCGCACCCTCCCCCCTCCTCCCTCCACCCCCTGCTCATCCTCCTCCTCCTCTCCTCTCCACTGCGGGGCCCGAGGCGGTCGCGCCAGCCTCCCGCCCCGCGCCCCCCTCTCTGGATAAGGGCGACCACGGGCGCCGGGTACAGCAGGAGGTGCAGCTGGTCCCACCTCCCTTGCCCAAGCGATGCATACCCTCATCCCTCGCCCCTCCCCCCTCCTTTTCCCCCATCGCCCCCCCCGCCCCATCTCGTCCTTTCCACTCGTCATTCCCCCGCCCCCTACCCCCCTATCCCCTTCCCCAATCCCATCCTTTCCTCCCCTACCTTGCTCTCCTCCCTGCCCCCCTCAGCCGCGGCCCAGACCAGGCCCCTCCCCTCCTCGTGGGAACATTCCACTCGTGAAGAAGCTCCTGCACTGGCAGGATGGAGTCGATCTCGAAGGCCTCCCATCCGCCCTCTTAGGCCCTGGCCTGCCCTGCACTGCACTGCACGGCCGCGCATGGTCATCCCATCCTGTTCGCTCACCAGGCCCCCTCCCTCTGTTGCGCGTAACCCCTCCTCTGTTTGCTCATTATTTCTCTCTCTCTCTCTCTCTC